AATCTTTTAAAAAAAAATGCAGGTTCTTGGATGCTAGACCCAAGGCAGAAGGGCCTCAGGAACCCTCACAGAGATGCCGGTCCCGTGGCGGGTTAACAGTTCTACTCCCGGGGCAGTGCTGGGAGTACCCAGGGGTACCCAGTTCAGTAAGATGAGCAGAAAGGAAAAGTGACATGGGTCTCCAAGGAGGGAGTTTAGGATTTGCTTTGAGCAGAATGTGGGGGTGACTTCTCCTCAAGAAGCTGAATGAGCTCACGCAGGTGCTACCCACACGCAGCTCCAGCCATCAACGCAGCAGCAGGAGCTGTGGGGGGGGGGCAGGCACCGACTGTGAAAAGCCCCCATGCTGTCCCATGGGCCTGGCCTAGTGGGGAGACCACAGAGCTGGCCAGCTCGGATGGTGACAGTGAGTAGTGACAGAGGCGACACCCCATGTGTAGAAAGGAACCCAGAGAAAGATCAAGAGAGGGAGAGTAACAAGGCAAGAAGTCCTTCCGGGCTGTCTCCTTCCCTGGGACACCAACCAGTTCCGGAGGCAAGTAAAAAACCGATGTTAGCAGGGCTGTGCTCCCTCTGCAATCTCTAGGGGAGAGTTGGTTTTGTTTTTTTGTTTTTTTTTTTAAGGTTTTATCCATTTACTTGAGAGAGAAAAAGATCACAAGCAGGCAGAGGAGCAGGCAGAGGGGGTGGTGGGAAGCAGGCTCCCCGCTGAGCAGAGAGCCCGATGCGGGGCTCAATCCCAGGACCCAGAGACCATGACCTGAGCCGAAGGCAGAGGCTTAACCCACTGAGCCACCCAGGGGCCCCGAGAGCACTTTTTTTTGCCTCTTCTGGCTGCTGGTGGAGGCTAGCAATACACTCGTGGATTGTGCCCCGGCCTGTGGTCACATCTGTGCGGTCTCTGCCCCCGTAGGCGCAAGGCGCTCCCCTTCATGGGTCTGTGCCTGCCCCTCCTGAGGACACATGCCATCCTGCCTTCAGGCCCACTGCACTCCAACAGGACCTCATCTTACTTCAATCACCAGCAATAATCCTATGTCCAAATAAGGTCGCTTTCTCAAGTTCGAGGGGGAGGGCGTGGACGCACCTATTGGAGAAGCAGTTTCAACCCAGAACCACCCATGAAATCCCCAAAACCTTCCAGCCAGCAAGTGCCAGAGGCTGCATGCCTCTCATCCACCCAACTCGGACACCCACCTGGGAAGGTCACTGGTCAGAACCAGGATCCTTCCTTAGAAAATGCTGAGAAACAAGGAACACGCCATGGGTCATCAGAGGGGAAAAAAAACAAAACACTGAGATTTGACCTTGGAAACACTCTTTAGCAAGCTGTTCCTTGAACAGGTCCCTGGAATTAGCCTTTCGACTCTCATTTCTATGCTTTTCTTCCACCCATCTTCCCCATCCAGATGTTATCCCAAAGAGGCAGGGGAATCACAGTGTTTATGACGGTGCCAAAAATAACTGAGCATTCCATGAAACTATCAACTCCAATGCAACAGTGATTTTTTAAAACTCAGGAGATCAAGTTTGTTTCTCAGATGATGATGCTCCATGTTCCTAGCAGACAAAGGCTTTCAAGGTGTGGCGCATCTTGCATCCGTGGGCCCTGGGCATGGAGCCAGCCTGGGTTGGCCGAACGGGGAGAGGGGGCAGATCTCGATGGCTCGAAGTGTCACCAAGCCTCCCTATGTGTGGCCTGTAGACTTCAGAGAGGCAGATGAAGACTGTCAACCAGAAGAGAAACCCAGGGTAACCAGGATCTTAGTAAGGGGAGTCAACAGTTATCACATCAAGGAGCAAGTTACCCCTGGGAGAACACACCTGCCCATTGCGGCATCGAAATTTCAAAAGCAAACCTGATCTCCCAACCAAGAGAAAACCCTCACCACCCACTGAGCTCAGGTGGCTAGGGAGACATTTGCTAAGAATCGTTGCCGTTCCAGGGATAACAGAGAGCTCCCTCACCTGGAAAACACATTTAAAGAAACCCTAGACTGTCCTTCCTTCCTCTCATGACCAAAGACGGCTCTACTTCCCAAGTTCTCCACCTGCTTATAAAGGAAGGCAAACTCAGCTGCCCCCTCCCTGCCCCTGCCCCTGCCCCCGCTCCCAGCAAGAGAAAAAGCCTGGAGAAATGTTCCCAAGTCCTTAGAAGCCCCAGAACCTCGACAGGAATTCACATTCATGAACTGACATTACCCCCAGGAAACCAGGCAACAGGCCCCAGAACCCCCACTGTCTCCAAGCCTTGAGGAGTTTCTCTCACCCATCCATGACCCTGTCTTGTTTTCTAACATTCAAATACAGGAACTTCAGGACTCAGAGTCTACCCCACCGCTAGACCCCCCAACCCCCAAGAAGAAAATACTGATGGCCATCATTATGGAATCGTTTCAAATGAGAAACAGGCTAATCCTTCCCTTGCTAACCCGCAACTGAGACCGTGGGCCCAAGAAAGACAAGACAATCAGAAATCGCTATTGAAAACACCCGCTCCCGGCCTTCCGCAGAGCTTCTAGATGTGCTGTCTGCAAGGCTGGAGGGCATCAAGGTGCCAAGGACCTAGACAGGCAGGTCTCCAGTCAACAGACACTCAGCTCTGCTGAGACGTCTCCCCTATGAGAAATCTCTCATACATGGGGCGCTGGACAGAGCTTGCCTTCAGACAACGACGGCTTTTCCTGCAGGCCAACCAAGAAGAAAAAAGCAGCATTTTCATTTTTCCTCCCAGAGGGCAGCCTTCACAACATCATGTACCTTCATAAAAGCGAGCTCACACTGGTCAGCCAGTGGGCTAACAACTAGAGGACGAGGGGGAAAGAGGCAGTGCGATCCTCACCATCGTGGGGCTGGAAATGAAACCACCCGGGCCCACGAGAAGCAACAGCAGGGCCCCCTTCTCCCACAAATGGGCTTGAGGGAAAAGCCGAGGCAACCACAGTTCCCGTAGGGACCTGTTGAGGGGACCTGGCTGCTTGCCTATCAGCTCAGAGCTGTTGAGAAAAAAAAAAACCTACTGTTGTGCCCTGGACCCAGAGGACCCCATCGGCCATCCGTGGGCGTTAGTGGGAACGAGGATAAAGGACAGTCGAGCAGTGAGCCAGGCACAAGCCCTGATTATGACTCACTCCAATCGTTGGTTGACTTTGGGGCGTTTCCAGAACATTGTCTGCATTGCAGTTGGGCACAGCTCCTAAAAGCCAGACTCTAGTCCAAAAGCAGGTTAAGATGCTGATAAGAAAACCGTGCTTTTTCCTCCAGCCCTTTACCCCCATGACTTCCTTTTAACACCCAAGGTCTCACGTCTTGACTGAGAGATAACTGCCAACCTAAGACCTCTTTTCACTTTTCGAAAGCAAAGCAATTGTGAACTTGACATACCAACCAGATAAATCCAACTTAATAGGAACGTTCAATGGCCAAGGACAAGCCGTCCAGAGCAAAGAATTAGGTTAGCAGAGGTTAAATTACTTCACATCCAATGCCAACCCAAAGTCAGGAATTGCTGATCTTTGGGTAGAGTTATAAATCAAGGATTAGGAGGCTGCAGTTGAAGGAACGGCCCTATCCTACATGGAAAATCCTCTTGCTCCCACTTCCCTTTGAAGCCAGCCTCTCGTGCCAAATATTAACCTATCCCTTCCTGGGGGGGGTACGCCAGGACACTTCAACTTGGAATCAAGGACCCCGGGAGCCCACTCAAGATCCTCACGAACACCCAGCCAGTGCACAAGCTCCACCAGTCCCTTCTGCTCCCCAAGCAGCTTACTGAGACCCAACGTCCGACTTACCAGGCACGCAGAATGGTTAGGGTGCTTTGAACAGGTGGGCACCGCCGCGAGCCCAGCAAAGATGGGCAAATTCCAATGCATTGAACACTTCAGGGAAAGCCTACCCGTCCCACTGCTCGCATTTGATTGAAGGCAAAAATCCTCCTCAGCGGTCTGCCCAAGGATCGTCTACCATCATTTCGTTTCCCTTCTCAAAATGTGGAGGCAGCAACTTGACCCTAATGTTTCTCAAGAGGGTAAGCCTTACACAAGAGGTTATTCCAACAGAGGGTCCCGCACACCTCCTGACAGCCCTAGTGGCCAGAGGGGGTATTACACGCAGCGGAGGCCTGGGGCCCTGGAGGGCAGGATCCTCCTGCAGCTGAGCTGTCTGTCTAGGGACAGAAAATGAAACTCCAGCCTTCCCTTGGCACACAACCTTCCTGCTCGGTCCTCTTAACGAGGCTGCAGCCAACCATAAATAAATTAGGCTCTGTCACTATTCCACTCATCCTAGAGACTTTAAAAAAAAACCAAGTTGTAACCCAACTTTCACGGCTTCTATGGAGAATACTTTTTATTATACAAGTATCGTATACACAACATTACTCGGGGAATGTTTACAGCCATTTCCAAACCTCCATTTGACCCCCACGCACGGTACCACACACCCACCCATCTTCCGGTTCAGCACGGTGGGAACGAGACACAAAACTGTTGCTTGGTGAACAGAGAGTTTCAGTTAAATAGAAGCTTCCGCACCAAGAACAGAGGCCAGGATCCTAATTCTTCATACCCTGTGTACATTATGAATAAAACCTAAAAGTAGTGTTTTAGAGTACCCCACCACCTTGAGAAGTTAATATTAAAGTCGAATCCCATTTGTCAAAAAGTCTTAAGAAGTGCACCCGTATTTACAGACCCCATTAAATTATGCATAAATAAAATCTGTACACTCAACGCACTGTTTCTCAACATACAGAGCCTCCTACGGGACTTGGGGGGGGGGGGGGGGGGAAAAGAAAAAAAAAAAAAAAAAAAAACTACAACAAAAAAACCGCCTCATGCCTACCCTTTTCAAGTTTACTCGAAACCAAGACGTGAAATAAATACGCAAATAAAGCTTCAGTACCTTAAAGGAACAGAACATTTCAGAGCCTCTCATTTGAAGAGTTAACTCTCAGAATTAAAAAAAAAAAAAAAAAAAACACAAAAAAAAAAAAAAAAAAAAAAAAAAAAAACACAAAATCATCAGCAGGCTTCATTTCTACAAGTTTCATAAAACCCAAAGGCCCCCTTTCAACAAGGGGTTTAAGTGTGTCAAATACCACCTATTAAACTAGTCCCTAAGCGGAGAGAATCTTTGCTTCCTACCGTCTGTAGGATTTGGTATCTGAAAAAGCCAGATAAATACTTTTAGATAAATATGGATTGGACACAAAAAACCAGCCATGACCTTAACACTGCAAGTTACTGTCACTCTGACTCGCATCGATTTGACATTTCAACAGCTGTGGGTGTGGGTTTTCTCGTGAGCCCAGGGAATTTATTTAAAAGGTTCTAAAACTTGTAGCACCATGTTCAGAGAAAAGAATGGGGTTCAAAAGAATAAAATGAGCTTAATGAACAAAGAACCAGTACTTGTCACCTTCTGATAACTTGTCCAGATTTAGAGACACATTTCAGCGCTAGAGAAAGAACACTAAGGAATCCAGGAGGGCACGTCAAGATCCAAAAATGAGTGGAGGCCTTTTTCATGGGAAGGTGGGTCACAAAGTGTCCCCCGGCCAGAAGGGTTCCCGGTCTGTCTGGGTTGAGACGGATCGTGGAGTCCTTTTCCCTCGAGACTCTTTTCAGCCCTTGGCTCACGCCCATCCTTCATTTTCTGTGCTTCTCCATTTTCTCCAGGGTTTTGCTAGAATCGGCAGGACTCTGGTCTCCGGGGTTCATGTAGGATTTGTCTAGGACTATCAGAGCCTCTTTGATGTAGTTCTGTAGAGCGGACACAGCAGCACAGATGGCTTGGCTGCCGAACCCGTGTGTGATCAGGCTGAAATGAGACAAGCAGTTCTGTATGTTCGTCTCCAAGACCGGGGTGGGCCGGTTGTTGCCGTTGGGAGTTCGGTCTTGATTGAGGAGGTCTGTGAATTCTTTACACACCTGCCTGGGAGGATAGTCAACACACACCGGTGAGCTCCATCTAGCTCTTGACAGGGGAAGAGGACAAAGCCGGATCACCCTGAGGAGTGGGTAACCCAGGAGGCGTTCAGAACTTCCCAAAGAAACAGCCTTTGCTACTAACGGTCAAAGTCTGCACACTGAGCACCTACTACGCGCCAGGCCCTGAACTCAACTCTTTGCAAGGACTCTCCTTTAATCCTCATCGGCAATTAGAAAAGCTAACGGGATTAACCCCAGTCAGAAGGCCAAGGTCACCAGGACTAGTGCGAGAGATGGGGAAAGGTGGGGTCGGGAATGCAGCCCAGGAGGTTACTTATAATGGATAGCTGCTTATTTGGAGCAGCTTGGTACACAGACACCAATTTCTTCAAGAACCCCAAAAATCCACATCTCCCCCAAAACTCACTGTTTACACAGCTGGTTCACTCTGCTCCCTCTTGCCCCATTTTCCAACTGGATGACCTCTGCCTCGTTTACAGTAATTTTTTAAACCAATTCACAGTTGGCCTCTAGGAGAAATCCTGACAGCTGCATTAAAGTAGGATTTGGGACACTTAGCCTGCTCAGGTGTCTCCCACAAATCCAACTGGATCGTTACATTTAAAAAACAAAAAGTCTTGGGGTGCCTGGGTGGCTCGGTGGGTTAAAGCCTCTGCCTTCGGCTCGGGTCATGGTCCCAGGGTCCTGGGATCGAGCCCCGCGTCGGGCTCTCTGCTTGGCGGGGAGCCTGCTTCCTTTCCTCCTCTCTCTGCCTGCCTCTCTGTCTACTTGTGATCTCTGTCTGTCAAATAAATAAATAAAAATCTTTAAAAATAATAATAATAATAATAAAATAAAAAACAAATAGTCTTATCAGGAGGTAGAAGACATCCACCATCTTGACTGGATGGGACCAAACAAAGTGTTTCCAAAACCTTTTTGTAGGGTATGGAGACACTAATGAAAGGATGGTTGAACTATTCTGAGCTGCAGAACTCAGCAGCTCCAAAAGCACTCTTTCCTACGCAATACATTCATCTGACTTCTAAGTCTGACCCAAGAGCTCACTTATCTGACTTGTCAGAGAAAAGCCCCTGGCCAGCTCCAGTTCCTCCACACCAGCCCTCAGTGAGCATTTCTTTCTTTCTGGAGCACCTTGGACGGTTCGAGACAAACCGCAACCCCACCACCACCAACTCCCTGCCAAGTTCAAGATCAGAGCGCCGGGCCGTCAAATTCAAGTCTGGATACTCACTGTGCAGCCAGCAACATGTTCTTCCTAGCGGTCATCTCGTTCCGCCCTCCAAGATGGGGTCTCGTGAGATACTCCGCCACAGGTTTACTAGGAAATTCTGCTTCACAGACATAGGCAAAGTCCCGAGCCAAATGAACAGCCTCACCTAAAATCACCAGCAATGACAAGAGACTCAGAAGGTCTGCAGTCACCCCTGGGAAACCTCCCCCTCCTCTTTCTCTTCTAACCAGGAGGGTCTACCCGTCACTTGGCATCTTAAAATGAAATCACCCAAAAGGAAAACCACTCAGCGCGCATGTGGAACTTTCAGTGGGCTCGCTCCCCTAGAAACAGAGCAGGGAAATGCAAAGCATGTGGAACAAAATGACTGACATCTTTCACTACCCTGGAATAACGCTAACCCGTCTAGGCCCCCAAGCTTAAGCTTCCGGAGACACACCCACATCTTCCCTCGATAATAAAAGTTAGCCTTGTGGAGAAGCAGGGAAACTTAAAAAGATTAAGTGCGTTGCACAAAAGCCGACTGGTCACTTCTCCTTATGAAACCGTGACAAAGTCTTTGCTGGGGAACCTTCTTTTTAAACCAGGGTGCCCCATTACTGAAGGAGGCAGGTCTCTGGGATGCTTTTCACCAAGAAAGGCAGGGCCGTGTTTCCACTGGAAATGTTAGTGCAAACAGCCCAACTACGATCCTGGACTACCCGCCCTCTTTTGTCCCAATCACTGGGGGATCAGAGGGACAGAAAACGAACCCGGACTCCTCTCCGACCAGAGATGCCTGGGCCTGGCTCCACAGTGCCAAGGCTGGCCAGAGCTTTCCAGAAACCCCCGAGAGTGGCACCCCACCCCCACCCCTTCTCCTCCACTTTGCCACCCCAGACTTCCTAAATCTGAGAACTACTGTTTTGGCACACACTTTCTTATCCAAGGACCTCAGCCCCGCTAGTAAGAAAACCTCGCAGAGCCACATTCAGGCACCTCGCACACAAAACCCACCATTCTCCATGCGGGACAGCTATGCTCCAAACGGCAGCTCCTTTCTCCTGGCCCTGACCTCCAAAGACACTCGTAAAAAGGTAGAGCCGGCTCTGCCAAGTCTCTTTCAGCATGCAGGAGCGCCATTAGACCAGGGACAGAAAGCGATCCGAAGATCGCCTGGCCACCAGGCCACCAGCCCTCATTGGCTCCCCCAGCCCAGAGCGGAGCCCAGCGCCCTGCTGATTGGGTGAGGGGCCGCTCTGGCCTTCAGATCAGCCCCTCCGTGCCCCACTCCATCTTCCCGTGCACAGCAACAGCGAGCTGGTTTTTGAAAAAAATTATTTCACTTCTCCCTTAAGCGCCCCCCACCCACCCCCACCTCGCCCCCACTTATTTTTAAGGCTGTAATTGCATTCTTGGCTCTCTTCCAGCTTGGGGGTACAGGCCCATTCAGTACATGAAAATGTTACATCCTACTATTTTAGGACTGGGGAGAGGGGCCCCACTTTTTTATTCATGTGGGAAAGGAACAAAGGGCTTGTGAACGGGGTTAGCCCCGCGTCCACAGGGGCTCTTCTCTTCCCGGACCACAATCCTGATACCCCACAGCTACCCAAGCTGGAAATGGCGCTTCTTCCCACCAATGTGCAACCGGCTTTTTAAACAGTGTGCCAGAAGATCAATCCGTCCTCCAAAAACGGGTCCACTTGCTAGAAATGTCCCAACACCCTAAGGGTGAGAGTTCTTAGGTCAGGGAAACCGAATACTTTTTCACAGTGATTTTCTGAAGAACCCAGAACAGGATACTTAAGCAGTCAGGGACTTAAGTGTGAACTCATTTCATAAATTATTGTGATTCACTACAACGAACTCACGACAACTCTTCTTCATCTCCGTTGGCGACAGGGCCATCTTTAAGCTTTCCTTCAGGGAAGAGTTAAGGACCCAGATGACACAGAGCCAACTAAAAACACCATAAAACCAAAAAACAAAACTTCACTGACCTTCTACTAAGGACGTCAGGAGAGTGACGTGAGCAGCTTTCCGTCTCCCAGCTGGCAGATTCAACCCGATCTTGTCCAACTTCTCCCGCAAGGACCGGCCTCCATTTTTAGACTTGGCTCTGGGTACAAGAAAGTGAAGGGCAGCTAATTTCAAAACACTGCACTTCAAAATTCTAAATTCCGGCCGTGCTGCGATCAAAACGGAAATCTGCGAGAGTTATCGACATTATGTGGCTCATAATCAGGTGATACAGGGAGTCAGTCCCCTGTAATTAATGCTCTCTCCTATCATCCCCAACATTTTTTCTTTCCAATCACAGAACATTTCAAGTTGTGCTGGAGCAGATGAATTTACTGCAGCAGCCCCCTGGGGCAACAAAACGCATGGGGCTCCCCCTTCTCCAATGGGATGCCACCACTTCATACATGCAATCAAATCCTAAGCAAATGATAATCTGTGAGCGCTGTTTTAGCACTTCCTTCTACATCTGGCACTTTCCAAAAGGGAAGGAATGTACTAAAATTCTAAGCCGATTAGAATTCAGTGTTAGGTATAAATGTTACATAAATGTTAAAAATACCTCCTCGGTTCTTTTATGTTACTCACGGTCAACCACCCAACCACCATGGCCAGAGAGTCTGTGTCCCCACGTACCTTCTGAGAACACCTCCCAGCAAAGAGGCATTTAAACACTCAGGCGGGGACAATCGCCTCTGGACTTCAGCAACTGTAACTTTGTATTTAGACGTGGAGCTGAGGAGGGACAATCTTCCCGGGACTGAGCAGAAGACCTCGCTGGGATTCATCACAGCCCCCACAAGCTCCTTCTGACAAGGGAGACTCAGTGGGTTCTTGGTCATTGAAATGGGACCTGTAAATAAGATCACAAGTGGCAGTCCCAAAAGCTGCACTTAAGAAAAAGGGACCCTTGCAAACCGCTCACCAAAAACACCACACGTTGGACTATGTAAATTACAAGCGGATTTTTTAAAGTCCTAGTCTTCAAAGATAATCGAATCTGAAATTCACAAGTTAACACCTTACAGATAACTAGTCATGACTCCAAGCATGGAGGGTTTTCACTTTCGAGCCACTGTTAAAATCTGTTTAATTAGAACACTTGTTTTCGAAAGACTGCTTCAGCCCTAAATAAATGGTGATTTTTTTTTCTTCCTCACTCGACAGACAACCAAAATCACCAGACACATTCAGATCCCCTCAAGATTTCACAGTGTGACTATCACGGTAAATTTAAAAATACAAACAAACACGTTCTATTACAAGTTTCCTGGGAAATCCAGTTTATTTTCTGAGTTTTTCTTCAAAAACCATTTCCCAACTGATTTCGAGCAGTTTAAGTTCCAGCAGCAGACCCTAACTACCTTTCATCTAGAACCAACTCCCAACTCCGAAATAGCCGGACTGGACTGGTAATCCCCTCAGTTCGCAGCACGCTAATTTCTTGAGACACTCCCTGCCTGATCCTATTTTCCAATCCCCTCCCCCACTACCCTGCATAAAGCCCAGCTCTCACACACACTGTCCCACACCCTGGTCCTTTTAAAGCTGTATATTTGGTAGGCCGAACCGTTTCAAAACCTTTTCTTACAGTTTAGAATAGAATCACATCTACTCATTCAACAATGGTCACAGAATCGACCACCCAACTAAGGTATGTGGTGTGGTTTTTTTCAGTGTTAACTCACACTGGAAGACTAACAATGTAAAAACACCACCCAATTCAAGGGATCGTATTCCCCAAGAGAACACTATGGAGTAACAAATCCGGATTAATCTCTTACTGGAGACAGCTCCTAAGAGTTTTCTTACCATCCTTTCTCATTTAATTTACAAAGAGATCTCTTCTTACTCAGAAAAATCTACCTTCCTCCAGCCCCCGTCAGTCCCTTCCCCAGCACAGACGTCCCCGGGTCGGCCACCAAACGCCCCCACCTTGCCAGGATACATGCGTGGCCCCGGGGGGAGAAAAGTTCGCTCTCACTACCTACCTTTGCGAATAACAGTCTGATCGTGCAGAAGCAGGTGCTGATCATCAACATTCTGGGAAGAAACAACAAAGTTTCTCTTAAATTCGGGGGAGCCTGGGGTGGGGGGGGGGTGTAGTAGAAGCTGGGAGGCGAGCAGGTCCCGGTTCGAGGGCCAAGAGCCGAGGAGCCGCTCACCTGCACCTCCTCCATCTGGTGCGTCATGTCGTGCAGCCCCAGGTTCTCAGCCAAGCCCGCGGCGTCCAGGGCGTGCGCGTGGGGCAACAGCAGGTCGGAGCGGCGGTAGGCATCCCTGCGGGCGCCCATGGCGCCACCCTCCAGCCCGGAGAGGTGGGGTAGCAGGCCGGCCGGGCGCCCGTGGTGCGAGGGCAGGCCAGCCCCCTCCTGGCTCTGGCGGCCCGGCCAGGCCTGCTGCTGGCTGCCGGTGGGGGCTGGCTGGTGCAGGGGGTTGATGGCAGCGGCGTAAGCTTCTCCCAGATGCGAGTAGGGGTCGGCCGACTGCGAGTAGGCCAGCTGCTGGTAGGGCGGTGGGAAGTAGGGTGGTGGTTGGTATTCGGCGACTCCAGTATGGGAGAGGGGTGGCGCGGGGCTGTAGAGGTGCTGCCCGGCGGAGGAGAGGTGGGGGAGGCGCGGGTTCCCATTGCTGCTCGCGTCGTGGCGATCCTGGGAGAGAGAGAAACAGAGACCCCGCTAGTACGAAACCCGGCTACTGCGAACTGACCGCAGCCGCGGCGCTGAGCGGCGAGCCCCCACGGGACCCACCGCACCAGCACGAACCCAACCCACTGGGCCTGCCCTCCGGCCGGGGGGCATCCGGAGGCAAAGTGCCCCGGGGGGTTCGTTGCAAACCCAGAGTCCACGGAGTAAATAGAGACTTCGAAAAACCTGGGGGAACGCGTCCTCAAAGCCCGGCGGCGAAGGCCTGGGCCCTGCGACGCCCAAGGCGTTCTGAAGCGCCCAGTCCGAACCCCAGGCCTTGGGCCAAGAGCAGGCCAGGTCCGGGCCAGGCGAAGAAGTCGGCATGCGGCGAGCACGATGCGGAGCCCGCTCGCCCACCAGCCCGCACATGGCGGCGCCAGACCAAAGAACCTGCGGCAGCTGCGAGCGCGGATAAAGCGCACAAAGCGGGAAGTGCGCATCTTCCCCGCCCCAGGGACCCTCCCCTTCCACGCCCTCAGGACAAAGACCTCCGGGGGAGCGACACTCCCGAGCAGGATTGCCACCCAGCGCCGCTGAGCCGCTCGGGGAGGCACGCACCGCAGCCGGGGCTGCCCTCCCTGCTAGCCGCGTCCGGAACAAGAGGGAATACAGCAAGTGAGGCCGCCTTGCCCGGCCACGATCAGTGTCCCCACAGATCGGGGCACAGGGGGAGAATGAAGGACCCCGAATATTGGGCAACCTTGCCTGCGCACGTCCCTTGCCCCCAGGCTCTCTGACTTAATTCTCAAAGGACTTGTCTCCCTGGGTTCGAGGGGTCACAGGGGTAGCGGGGAACCCGGAGAAACATGGCACTGTCGCCCCCTAGCGGAAGTGCCCGGGCCTGCCGACAGGGGCAGCCCCTTGAGGTCCCGCGGGCTCGCAGCCCTCGCGCGGCCCCCCAGCCCGGGCTCCACTCTGCCAGCGCCCTGGCGCACACCTCCGGCCGCCCGCGTCTTCCTCTTCCCGCTCGCCGCCTCCCTCCCTCCCACTCTCCGAAACTCTAGCTCAACCTGTCCGACTGGCTGGAGCACTCCCGAGCGCTTACGGCCCCATCTGGCCCCAGGGCCCCCCCACCAACACTCCCCAGCCCCCACTTCTCTTAAAAGCCAAACTTCTGTCCTTTTCTTGTCTCCCCGAGGAGTTAGCGGGGCAAGTGACAAGCCCGCCTCGGAAGAGACTCTGCAAAGGTGTCGCCGGCAAGTCGCCGCGTCTGACCCCTTTGGACGGAGATGTGGTGCGTAAAAGCCACGTCTAAGGGTTGTAGACGGGACGCTCTTCCGAGAAAAGGGGAAGAAGGGCTGTTTTGCTTCGCAGGAGACCGACCGGTAAGCTCTGCGGGTGGGATCTGCCATTCTCGGTCCAGGCCCTGTTCCCGAGGGTGGATGTTTAGGAAAAGGCCCGATTCAGGAAGAGAGCCCCGGAGAAACGGACTAGGGGCGCCCGGAAAAGTGGACCCAGTCCCATCGAGGGGCAGAGGCTAGTGCCTGCTCGCTGCTCCCGCGCCCTCGCCCTCGCCCCCACCTGGGTCCAGCGGCCCCCGCCTCCCGGGCTGTACTCGGGAGGGGCCAGAGTGCGCCCCTGCGCCCAGCTCACCTCGCAGTCCTCTTCATACTTGACATTATCGGTTATTTTCCACAACATGGCGTCCGGCGTCCCCCAAAACAGTCGCCAGTTCAATCCAGGCTCCCCCCACCCCCCGAGCGGTAAATCCAAAATGGGGGTCACGGTGGCTAGCCGTCTGCCGCCGCCCCCGCCACGCGAGGGCCTCGCTGTCCCGGTCACTGGACGCGCATCGGCGGCTCTGCGAGCGCAGATGCTGCCGCCGCGCGTGCACAAGCCGCTGCCGGCGACCCGGGAAGCCGCGCCCGCACTGTGTGTCCCGGCAATAGCCGGGGGACCCGGGCGCCTTAATGAGAAGGAAATTATCATAACTCCTCCCCGGGGGCCGGCACCAAGGCCCAGGCGCCGGGCGGGGCAGCCCCCAGCCAGTCCCAGCCTAGCTCCGCCCTGCACCCCGGCGGGGCGCCTCGCGGAGAACCGAGCTGCGGGGGGCAAGGAGAGGAGCCGCGTGGGCGGCACCTCTGACAGCCGCCGACCAGCTAGGTCGGGGTCCCCAGTCGCGCCGTCCATCAGTCATCCCCGACATGCGAGGTTGGCAGAGCTGGGGCCCGGGATCCACATACCTAAGAGCCAGCCCCCCTTCTTTTTTCCAACGCGCCTTCCCCCATTCTCCAAAAGACGTTGCCACCTGGAGTTAAGAGACCCCGCGTTCGGGTCCCCCTCAGCTGCTAAAATGTCCCACCCCACCCACTCACGGAGACTTAAGGTTTGGGCTGGGATCTGGCAGCCAGAGCCCCGACCCCTCCGAGAGACGCCTCCCCTTCCCTCCCTCTCCGTGGTCATAGCGCCGGTCCATTCCTCCGAGGGGCTGGAAGAGCGAAGGCCTTCTGGGGAAGTCTGCCCCGAGCCCCACGGAGCGGGCGGGCCTCCAGCAGCCAACGGCGTCTGGCCGCCATCGCCCCAAGGTGCATCTCCGCCGCTGACTGCGGCTGGGGGTCACCCGCGCGCCCTCACCCAGCCCTGCCCAGCCCTTCCCAGCCCTGTCCAGCGCTGGCTCCGCAGCTGCCTCCGACGGGCCAGGCACTCGGAAGCCTCAACTCACGCAGGAAAAGAGGTGCGGGGCGGAATACAACCCAGGCGCCACGCGCGGGGGAAGGGAGGAGGTGGGAGAAGAGGGAGGGGCCAGAGAGGGACCCCGCGCGAGGGATGAGTACCCCAGTTCTGCAGATGCAGACGGAAAACGAAAGTTACGCAGAAACGCTGCCTCTAGCCCCAATATTTATTTGCCACCCAAACCTGAACGCAATGCGCAATATTAAAAATTTTTTAAAGAAACGAAATCCATTGGCCCAATTACTGTAACTGACCTTTTTCACTGCAGGGAAAGTCGCTAATTTTCAAGGGCGAATATTACTGGGACGTCCCGTCTGGCTCCTGGATCTGAATTTAAACATTCTGACAGAATTGGTGAAGGGGACTATTTCGATCTGATTCCGAATCCGGCTATGCAGTAATTAATACCCGTGGGTACAGGGCCCGGCCTGGGGCGGACGCTGCCCCATCTACAGAATGGTCTGCGCACATTGCCTTCCTGCTCCGTCTCGGGGTGGTCTGAGCTCTGGCATGTCTTTAGACCCACATGGGCCTAAAATAAAAATAACTGAAATAAAAATGGGCGTCCTCCAAGCGAACGTCCTCTGTTGCCTTAGAGTAGACAGAGCTGAGGTGATAGTCCTACCAAATGTGGGAACAAAACCTGGTAGTGAAACCACCGGGGGCTTTTCGGGGCTTTGCACTATAAAATACAAAGGACGTTGCACACACTACCCTGGACACCTCGCTTCCAAAACATCGAGGCCTGCGGGCAAAATAACCTCAAAAGCAGCGCTCCTGGTATGGGGGGAGGGGGGCGGGGGCACCTGTGCAATGCAGGAATCAGAACGCGGGCGCAACAGGACGTGGAAGGTTGGGGTCCCGGGCACTTGCGAGATGGAAGCTGCGCTCCTCCTTCGGGCTCTCCAGACTCCCAGAGCGCTGACGCGGAGGCTCTCCTCCACGCTGGGCCTTCTAGACCCGGGTTTGACTCAAAGACCCCGCCTGGGGTGCAACTTGAACAAGTTGTCTCGTCCACGCCGCCAACTCTTCCCCCAGGCAGGTTTGGAACCTGGGCAGGGCAGAAAACGGGCCACCCCCCCCCCAACCCCAGGCCCCGCTGTCCCTCCTTCCCGCAGCAGCTGTGCCCGAAGCAACCCGTAGGGGCAGAGATTCCTCCCAGCCCGGGGGGAGAGGCAAATGGAGCCGATGGCCCCGAGGGACTGCGCGCCTCCTTTCGGGGAGCCCCAGGGGCCTAGACGTTTCCGAAACGCTGGGCAAGGGCCATTCATTTCCCAGGCAGCGCCCTGGACACCCGCGCTGCCCCCCTCTCTCAGGGCACGCGTTCAAGGCAGAACGCGGCTTCCGCGCCCCGGATGGAAGGAGGCGCAAACAAATGCTCCATCTTCTCCGCCCTGGAGACCCTGCCCAAACACGCGCACCCCCGGCTCGGGGCGGGAACCCAGGCAAGCGCGCGCCCAGCTCGGGGCGGGAACCCAGGCACGCGCGCGCCCGGGCGGGAAGCCTCAGCCCTTCTTTGAGCTCTAGGTTTCTTCCCTCTGCGGGAAGCAGGGAGCGCGTGGCTCCCGCACCCGGGACGGACCTCCCTCGGAAGCCCCCGCCCCTCGCCACGGGAAGACCCGGGCCTGCGCGGCTGCGCCCCCGGGCAGCCGCCGCTCCAGGAAGGGTACCCCCTCAGGACCCTCCGAGGCTTCGCAGCTGCTTAACTGTAAACAGAATTAGGGGATCCCGGGGGTGAGCCTCGCAGAACGCCACGCAAAATCGGGGACATGGAGGTAGGTAGAGGGTTGTCCGCTGCTCCCTCTGTCGCCCCCTAGGGGGCCTGCGCTCGCACGCACTCGAAGCCGGGACCCCGGCCCCCATCCGGCTCCGACGGCCCAAGAAACCCGAATCCGAAGACCGGGAGGCGTCCGCGTAGAAGCGCAGGCGGGAGACCGCCGCCGCCTCCAACTTTCCGCCCCCGCAAACCGAGGAAGGCTGCCGGGCAGGTAGAGCTGGATCGCGGTTGGCCCGAGACTTCTTTTCCCGCCCCAGGGAGGGGGCGCCCGGAGCTGCAGGTGGAGGCCCCCGAGCGCCCTGGAGGACGCAGCGCCGCGCAAGGTGTCTGTCCCGCCCCTTGGAGCAGCGTGAGCTCCCGCAGAGACCGCGGCTAGGCGGCCAGCCGGGTTAAGCAGAGCAGCAAAGCGGGGGCCTGCAGCAATTGAAGAGCGCTCCCCTTCACGCGCCCTACACTCTACTCCACGACCTCCCTTCGCGGCACCGTCATCCCACTGGACAGACACACTTGGCACCAGAGTCCTCCCAACGGTCTAAGCCAACTCCAGGGGCACGCTCTGGGGCGCCACATGCATCATTTCACAGCCACTCCAAAATAACAGCAATAACATAAAAATAGCAGGTTGTTTTGATAGTGTGCAAGGCGGCCGCCGCACACACATAGAGGCTTCCTACTTAACCCAGGCTCCGACCCGACTCCACTTACTGCTCACGTCTGGGCGCGCTGCCACAGGCCGGGGCTGGAACGGGACTCGCGGCCTGCAGCTCTTCTTCGCAAAATCTGCTTTTACAAATGAACAGAGAGTCGCGGGCGCTAAGGGAGCCTGCAGGACCCAGGCTCCGGGGAGGGCCCAGGTGCATCTCTGTCCCGGGCCCAGTCCGGGCGCTCATTTGAAGAGCGCTAGCCAGGTGCACAGCCCGTGGGTATAGTCTCTAACTTGACGATCACAGCCCCATTTCGCAGCAGGCGAAGGTGAATTTTTGGTCGTCCAACTACCTCAAAGCCACAAACATGCCTGCTATTCAAGGCCACCTCCCTCGCGGCTCTCCTGGAGACCTGTTAGAGACAAGCCTAGCTCTCGCCCCCCCCCCCCCACGCCCGGGGGGACCGCCGCCCTCCAGAGGCCACGCTCGGCTGCAGTGTCTGTCACTTCCCCTCTAAATCCCAGGGCCCACCGGGGCGCATTCTAACCGCTCCGCACAGGCAGCCGGGCTAAGGCTCCAAACCCGCATCCCCGGAGGCCTTCTGGGTTCGGCGTCCTGGGACACCATCCACCTCCAGGCCAACTACGCCCGGCGGCCTTAACGCATTTCTCTGATCGCCTCCAGGCGACGAGGAGGCCCATTGTGGCCAGGCGCCCCGCGACGCGGACTCGGCTTCCAGCGCCCAGGAGCCACCCTGCGTCCCCATGCGCGCCCTACCCACCCGGCGGGCATCCTCCCGCACGCCTCTCCTCCCTTCGGGTCTGCCCTCCACCCAGCACCTCTCTTCTCACCCTTAGGAGCTGGAAATTCATGTTGTCACCTCTTCCACTTCTGTTGAGTGGAGGATTTTAAAAATGGGAGCAACGCTGGAAGAGATCCCCAAGGGCCCAGTCGTGTGCCGCAAAGTGCTCCGAGGTTTATTTAATTAACGGAAGGGGGAAGTGCAGAGGGGTGGGGGGGGGGGTCAATTCACAGCCAAAACCGGCTATCGCGATTGGAAGACACACCTGAAAGGTCGTGGTTACTCCTCCCCCGCCCCCTCCCCTTGGAAACTGTAAACTCGCCAATTGAAAAGGGTCTTCCCCGACGTCTTGAATGATCTTGACGCCTGTGTGACAAGCAGTATGCACGAGGGCTGCTTGCAGCACGAAATTCTCTTAAACGTCCTCTAGGGCTTGCTGGCAAAGGACATTTTAAATCTATCTGGTCTCCGAAGCTGGATCTGTTAACATTGCCGTCAGTTCTCAGGCGTCTTTTCTGGCTCTGATCGAACTTGAGGCCCCACACAGGGTTCCAGGTCCAGTTAAAACTGAACCACGGCCCAGTGAATTCCCTGGGGGAGAAGGAGTTGGGTGGACTTGGGGCGTCTTCCTTCTTTCCCTGGAGAAATTTGCCTGCACCTTGGTTATCCCCACTATTTGCCTTAAGAACTGGGGTGAAGAGCTGTGGTTACAACAAACAAACAAAACCCCCTAAGAAACAAAAACAAAAGGGGCGCCTGGGTGGCTCAGTGGGTTAAAGCCTCTGTTTTCAGCTCAGGTCATGATCCCAGGGTCCTGGGATCGAGCCCCGCATTGGGCTCTCTGCTCAGCGGGGACCTGCTTTCTCTCTCTGCCTGCCTCTCTGCCTACCTGTGATCTCTGTCAAATAAATAAATAAAATCTGGGGAAAAAAAAAAAACAGTGGAGAGAGCCCGGGAAAATGCAGTTTTCTAAAGGAAGACAGTCAACACAGAAGTAAATGCCCCTGAGATCACCCCGACCCGCAGGAGAAGT